TGGCGTGGAAACGCACGCTTCGCTTCGCGCTTCAAGCCTCCGTCTCTCGGCTGCAAACGGGATGTGCAAGCTTCGCGTTGGTAGGAGCGAGTGCTCCAAATCCTAACAGATGACGACCCCCCCCCTCGTTGAGACCCCCCCCGTCGCTAATCCTAGATGCGCTTGCCACTTTTGCCCCGGGGAGCTTCGACATCTACGACCCCTCGACGCGCGCGCGCACGTTCGAAGAGAAAACCTCAGCTACGCAGGCCTCGCGAGAGCAAGGCTTGACACGAACTGCAGCGCGGCCTGCCCCCCTTCCATCAGATCGCTACTCGTTCGGCACGTCGCAACCTGGAAAACCACATGCCTCCATGGCGCAATAATAAGACGAGCATAGCGAAGCCGGGAGCCGACAGGGCCAATCGGCATCGAGAGGTGAATTCCCTTCGTTTACCCTCCCTGGCACCCCCCCATCAATGCCGTTGCGGTCCAAGCAAATCATCCTTGGGCTACGGCTATCAAATGCGTAACCGATACGGTAAAGAGTATTGCAGGGCGGTCGCGCCAAAATCTGACGCCCACGTTCTGGATGAACCTGGGTTGGCACGGGGCCCCAGCCCCTCCGAAATTAAGTGGGCATTCCTGGGGGCTGTTCTTTTGAGGGGGAATCTTAGCTGTCAAGATTCCGAGGCGTATCTTACGCAGGCAAATGGTTAATCGCCAACCTCATTTGTGGACTAAGAAGAGGGGGCGATGTCCAGCAGGCAGTGGAGATCGCTATGGCAAAATACGCCCCATCGTGTCAGCACGCTGTTTTGTCGGTGGATATGTTGTTGGATTCCGAAGTTTGTGGTATGCGCAAAATTAACGCGGCTCAGGTTTTCTCGAGCCGCATGACGGCAGGCAGAATTATTGCGATGGGGGTTCGTGCCTCTTTGCGAGACGCGTTGTGCTGCTAGGTGGAGAGAACCCCCCCGATACGCTCATGGCTCGCGCCATGGGGTGCCATTAGTATCACAACTAGACAGCACGTGCAAATGCGGGTTTCAAGCGACCTGCTGCAATCTGTGCTCGCGGGAATGCTTGGATGGAGCACCCGTCAACCCCCGCCTGGGAGCCTAGGAGCGCCCCCTCTTGGAGCCTCAGCCTTTAAAAGCGCTGTGTGCTGCACCGTGCTCTCATACACGACATCAGACCAGTGAGAGTGTGGACAGATACTAGAGCCCCCCCCAGCTCTTCTAGGCAATCGGCTTCTGGACCTGCATGGGCCCCTCAGAGATGGCCCAGGAGGTGGTTACTGCTTTCGCGGGCCCAAGGCATGTTCGGCTCTAGTAGACAGGGATCCACTCTTGAAGAGGTGGAAGGCTGCACCCAAGAAGGTGTACATGCCTAGATTATGTGAGGTTTTAGCCAATTCCATGTTTCGTGCTATGTTGCCGTCCTTGTCAGGACAAGCTCCCGCACTCCGAATGTTTTGACGAAGACGGGGCTGAGATTTCTCAGCTCCAGAAGTTCTTTGTCGAACCAGCCTGCATCGGACGAAGACGGGCAGAGACGGGGCCTGACTTTGCCCAGGCGTTGCGTTTTCCACGAGGCCCGTCGACGATTTCAGGAATTACCGCCGTAATCAAACCTGATGTGGTCACGAATCCTGATGGGGAGGGATATTCAGGCGGTATTCATTTGGTTGCTGTCTCTCATTGTGAGGCTCTTGACAATGTGTCTCAGTCTCCTTCCCCTCTTCCTGCGCCGCCGTTTCCCCCCTTCCCCGCCACTCTCGCCCGACGTCCTTGAACGCAACAGCTGACAGGGCCGACGCCCTTAGACCACTTCGAGGAACATCTAGAGAACGCAAGAGAGTTCCTGTTCATCTCAGTGGCCTGTGTTCTCCTGTGGATCGGTCCGTACCCAAGCCCACAGGCCCTGTGCAGACTGACCTGCACAGATGGTTCGCCCTGGCTGCCGTCAACTCATATAGATGAGATGCTGATATTAACTGAAAGGGAGGGGGGGATGTTCGAGCTGAAAGCTCCGTTTGACTGCGTCAGCGTTTCTCCCCTTCCTCCTGCTTGATTGTGCTGGTTGGTGGTTGGTGGTCCTTCCCCCCCTCCACCGCCGCGCCGCGCCCCGCAGTGTCGAGGCAGGCCCGCGTCTGCTGCGCCTGCCTGTTCTGCTACGGCCCGTAAACAGGAGAGGAAATGGTGGGGGGTGGGGTGGTGGTGTGTTCTGAACCCTCGCAGTTGCAGTTCTTACCCTTTTATGGCCTTCTTTGGTGTCCTGGGCCCTGTGCCTGCTGTCTCTCCAAGCCCGTTTAGGTTTTGAGCGCGCCCCAATTTTGGGGCAATGGGCTGAATCTATGGTGCTTCAACCTCCCCGTTGTCGTCTTACCGAGAAACCGTCGAGGACTACCTGATCTGACCGGACCTTTCAATTTTTCATGGGACTCTGCACTTCAGAGGACTCCAAACATCCTGCCAGAAACCTCTAATAAGTCTCTCGGAAGCCCAGCATCCACCTCCAATAACAATCTCAGAAGCCTTCCCAGAAGCCTTCGAGAAACACATCAGGCACATCCATGAAACATCTTGGAAAGCTGCAAGAAACTTCACGAGTAGCTCTTTCTGCGCGATGAAAACAACACCGCCAAGGAACGCCTCAGTTTGCCCTGCAAGTCCTCGGTTCGCGGGGGAATCTGTTTACCAAGAGGAGGAAGAGGAAAAGAGGGAGTAGGGTACGGACGAGGAAGAGGGGGACAAGGAGTAGGAGCAGGAGGAGGGATGAGTATGATGAGGAGGGAAGGAGGGAGAAGTGGGAATCTAATGGAGATGAGGGTAAATATTAGGAGCAGCAGTGGGCGCACAGGGGGAGGGGATGGAGGAGGAGAAGAGAGGGGACTGGGCGGAGGCTGAGGAGGAGGAGGAGGAGGAGGAGGAGGAGGAGGAGGAGGAGGAGGAGGAGGAGGAGGATATCTGAAGGGATGGGGAGTCGATGGAAAGGGAGGAAGGTGGGTGGTGGGGATCGTGTCCCAGGACTCCAGAGGTCCCTGGAGACCTCCATAGGGCCAACAAGGGTGAACACATTATCACAAACTTCGAACCTTGAATCTCGGATGAGGGGGACCCAGACAACCGGCGTCAAGATTTGCCATTACGTAATCCACTAACCTCTCGACCCTGTCCAGGGGATCTGTTTCTTCCCTGCGTAATTGTCTGGCGGCCCTGGGGCCCGAAACGACATCCCAAATGCCGAAGCGAAGAGAGTCGCCCGCAACTTAAGACACCTCGATGTCGAAAGTGTGCGGGGGGGGAGGGTGGAGGGCCGGGGAGAAGTGTGGGGCGGGCGGCGATGTGTCAGGGGGTCCTTTTTCGCTCAAGATGGGTCCAAGAGGGCCTCCGATGCTCCAAGATGGCCTCCAAAGCGGCTCAAGATAGCCGAAGATGGTCCAAGATAGCGTGCGACACACCCTCAAAAGGCCCCCAAAGGCCACAAGATGGTTTCAAGTGCTCTTGGAGCCACCTCAGGAGCCCCCCAAGAGGCCCAAATCCTTCGAACACCTGAAGACAATCCATGAATGTTGCCTTCTCGCCGTTTCGCCTCCCATGGGCTTCTGAAGCCTCAAGATGGCCCCAATATGGCCCAAGAGAGCCCCGCGAGGCCCCCAAGACGGCCCCAAGAATGCCCAAGAGTGCCCCAAGAAGGCCCCCCAAAGCAACCCGAGGGGCGATTTGAAGGGTCCCAGAAGAAGGGGGGAACTAGAGGACCCTCCCTCCGTTGATCGATGGCCTCCAAGATGGCCCCAAGAGGCCTTCCAGGGCTTCCAAGGGGGCCCCAAGAGAGCCTCAAGAGGGCTCCAAGCGAGCCACAAGGCCCTCCAAAATAGCTCCCAGAGGACCCGAAGACCTCCCAAAAGAGCACAAAGAGGACTCCAAGACACGATTGTGAGGGCTCTGTCCTCGTCCTCGTTGTCCTCCTGCTTCTCCTCCTCGTGCTCGTCCATGCCCTCATCGTCTTCCTTTTCCAGTTCCTCCTCCTTGTCCTCGTCGTGGTGGTCGTCTTTGTCGTCTTGTTCTTCGTCTTCTTCCTCCTCCTCTTCCTCCTCCTCCTCCTCCTCCTCCTTCCCTCGTCCCCACGCGGGCCCCAGGGATGGCCCGAAGAGGCCCTCCAAGACCACCCCTGGCTCCAGAGGTCTCTCTGTTCGCCCTGGTTGCCCGCTACTTTTAATCATTTGCGTCTCTTCGTCTCTTTTTCCATCAACTCTCGTGGGCTGAATTTCTCAACGGGCTGATGGGGCGTCGTTGGTGTCGCAGTCGTCGCCGTCGACGTCGTCGCCGTCGCCGCCGCCGCCGCCGCCGCCGCCGCCGCCGTCGTCGTCGTCGTCGTCGTCGTCGTCGTCGTCGTCGTCTTCGTCTCGTGAAGCGTGAGGAACTCCAAATGTCGGCGCTGCTCGCAAGGGCGGAGGTGGGGAACACCACGGTCTGGGGCCCCCCCAGGGGCCTCGGATCTGGCCGGGATCCACGCGTCCCCCCGCGACGCCGACCGCGGCATCTCCGAATGCATTTTCACTGGCCTAGATTGAAGGGGCCCAGGGACACACAGACAAATAGACACAAATAACAGGATTCCCCACATTTTCCAAGATTTTCTGGGTTTTCGTCTTCCCCCCCACTTCCCATATTTTCCCCTATTTTCCTGGGAGTCGACGATGAATTCTGTCTGTGTGTTTCTTTCCCTCCTCATAGATTTCGGCCCGCGCCCGTGTGGCGAACGAATTCTGGAAACTCTGAGCCCAAAAACGCTGCCACCTCTTGGGGACGCATTTCGTACTTCCGCCGGCCTCCGCCAACCTTTCACCAACTCCCGCCGGCGGAGCAATCCTCGTTGCACTTCCGCCGCCTTCCGCTGGCCGCCCGCCACCTTCCGCCGAGGGCGAGATGCCAATTCCTTCGATCCTCGCAAGCGAGGCCCTTTCTGTGACGCCTCACGTGCATCCATCACTGGTGGGGTGGGGGGGGAGGGACTCCCCTCCGGTGCCTCTGGGCTGGGGGTGTAGGAGTAGTCGTCGTAGTAGTCGCCTGGCCAGCGGCCAGCGCCGGGGGGGCGCGACCCGAGGCCCACGGCGGCGAGCGGACGAGGGCCCCCTCCCCCTCCTTTACCTGGTCGTCCCGCTCCTCCTCCCCAGTCGTCGCCCTCGCTGTCGTCGTCGTCCCTCCCCTCCTCCTCCTCCTCCTAAACTTTGTCCTCCGCATCCTCCCAGGAGCCGCTTCCTTCGTGCCAGCATGCGGGTGCCCCGCCCGGAAGCTGGAAGCGCATCCGGCCGTACAGACACGGCTGGGACATCCTGAGGTCCTCCGTCGGGCCACATCCGGAGCAACAACCGACGAGGTCACATCCGGAGGCCCGCGCTGGAAATCATACCTGGACGGCCAATAGCTCGACGTACATTCGGAGGCCGAAGCTGTATACACGTCTGGCTGGTCATTCGGGGGACGTCTGCGTCGCACGCGCTACGAAGCTGACGATGAGGGAAGAAGGCAAATAGGGGGCCGATCGGGGCCGGTCGAAAAGAAATGCACAAGCGCCGACCAAGGAGCAGTGCGCAGGGACTGACCAGGGAACAATGAGCAAAGGCCGATCAGACAAAAAACGCATACGGGCAGATCAGTAGGAAAAAGGCAGAATGGGTGATCGTGCAAAACTGCGCATGGGCCAATGGAGACAAAACTGCACAAAAAACACAGGGGCGGATCTGAGAAGAATGCGCAGGGAGGATCAAACAAAACATTGCCCATGGGGCGATCGGGGAAATACTGCGAAAGGCCGCCCAAGGAAAAACACCAAAAACCGATCACAACAGAAAACGAAACAGAACATGCACCGGGAAGCAGAGCAGACGACTGAACAGAAAACGGAGCAGAAAACGATACATAAAGTACACAGATAACTAGCATACACTTGGAACAAAAGCGCGGAGCAGAAAGCGGAACACAACACACACACAGGAAACCAGAGCAGAAGGGCAAACATTATCTGGAGTAGATCAGTGACAAAAACTGCGCAGAAAAAAGAAGCAGCAACAACGGAACACAAACATTGCGCAACACATGAAGCTCAGACGGCAACACGAACATTGGGATAACACGGAGCAAGAAGAGGAGACACCAGAGCAGATACCATGCCAGAAAAAAGGAACAAACAACGGAGCGGACATCATAAGGTGCACATGAACAAACAACGAAACAATAAACACGGAACACGAAACAAACATCTGCGCAAACAACTAACCATGCCACCAACTATATCAGACAACACACAGCGGAACGGACCACACAACTGAACACTGACTAAGCAACAAAACAGAACACGAAACCTACCGCCGAACATAAAACATGCTAGACAACGGAACAAACACCATACCAAAAACCTTAACCGACAACGAGACAACACAACAAACAATAACACATGTCAGACACGAAACGAAGACATACGGAACATAACACGGAACCGACACCGAATCAACACACATACTGGTAAACCGGACAGGGCACGGCACCGAACCAGGAATAGGAACGATCAGACAACGGAGGAGACAACAACACAACGCATCAGAGACACACGAACACACCACGTTATAGAAAACGGAACGACATGCAGAAACAACCTAGAAAAGAGCATGGGAACATAACGCTACCTAAGACACGCAACTGACAACTGCGTGCAACACACAACAGAAAACGGAACACAAGCCGACACGGAACATTCAACTATATACGGAGCAAACGTCGCAACAAAAGACGGACCAAACAATGCAGTGTAACTCATATTTTAAAACTGTTCAGAATACACATTGGTAGACAACGGAGCACACATTGTAGCAGCCAGCTGAACAAGTGACGAAACAGAAGACGGCGCAACCAAAGCGGAAACAATCGCAGACAACAACTTAGAAAGCGAACCATAACATGCAACATGACATCAGGCAGCACACGAACAGGACTCTGGACAACAAGCATACGAAAAAAAAGCCATGAGAAAGGGAAGCATAACACATGGAGTTGAGCAGAACATTCACCATAATATTATGGACCAGAACACATGGACAGAACAACACCTCAGAACACTTAACTGGAACATCACACTGATTGGAGAACTGGGCGGAAACGGGAACCGAAACATAACAATTGAACACTGATTAGACAGCGGGGCAAACACTCCATCAGAAAACGGAACTGAACCCACAACAAACACCTGAACAATCAATCATGCATAACACGTGTCGAACAATGGGGCAAACACTAGAACGTAGCGCGTGGCAATCTACATATCAAAGGGCCTGACAAACCAATCGGACATGAACACGCATGAGAAGACACATCAATACACGCGGAACAGAACCCTGATCGAACAACTGATACAACCTTATCACAAGACCGAACAAACAACTGATACGAACACGGACCACAAGAAGCGGCTGGCACTGAAACATAACACGATCATAGAGCATACCAAATAACTTTCTTTGAAACGGCATGCTGATACTAACACCAAACAACACACACGCGTACAACTGGGCAACGCACCGAACATATAATTCAACAAACAGTGCATCATAAACCGGACAGCACAAAATATTGACACACTGTGCAGAAAACTGACCACACAACAGGACACAATACTGAGCAAGACGTACCACAGAAAACATATTGCAAAACGGAGCTGACAACTAACCAGAAACGTACCCACACACAACGCACAACATTCATAACACATATTCAGAAACACATGTGGCCGACAACGGAAGAGGAACGGTGCTGGCAATCATATAACACCACATGCGTAAGGAAAAACGGGCCAGGAAACAATGTCACGGGAAACGGACAGGAGAAGCATGTGCAAGGGGGCGATCGGGGAAGACGCTTCTGTGGGCTGGAGGCCAGTCGCCTGAAATACACCCGGGTGTCAGAGACACATCCGGAGGCCCATTCACAGAAACACACCTGGGGGCTGTGCATTGGAGGCGCACGTGGCCAAGTGTGTCTCCAACTCTCGCCCAGGCTGGCTCCATCGTGAGCTTTCAGCTTCACGAGGGAGGGCCATATGTACAAGGGGGAGGGGGGGCAAGAGGGAGGGCCATATGTACAGGAACGCGCTCTCGAGGACATGCGTCTTCGTGAGCCGGCCAGAACCCGCCGCGCCGACGACGGGCATGCTCCCGATGAGGACGATGAAACAAATATGATCCATCGTGTGCCTCCAGCTTCCCGCTGGAGTTCTTCGCTGCGGGGAGACCCAGGGACAGGGTGCCTGCCCAAAGGTCAACTCTCGGACCCTGGCCGTGGAGAAGCCCCGTGGTTCCTGGGCAGGCTGGGGCACACAGGCCCCGATCGGCGAGCAATGGGCGTTTGGGGGTCGATGCTTCTCCTCCTCCTCCTCCTCCTCCCTCCTCCCTCCTCCCTCCTCTCCTCCTCCACCTCCTCCTCCTCCTCCTCCTCCTCCTCCTCCTCCTCCTCCTCCTCCTCCTCCTCCTCCTCCTCCTCCTCCTCTCTCCCTCCCTCCCTCCCTCCCTCCCTCCCTCCCTCCCTCCTCCCTCCTCCTCCCTCCCTCCCTCCTCCCTCCTCCTCCTCCTCCCTCCTCCCTCCTCCCTCCTCCCCCCTCCCTCCTCCTCCTCCTCCCTTCCTCCTCCCTCCCTCTTCCCTCCCTCCTCCTCCTCCTCCTCCTCCTCCTCCTCCTCCTCCTCCTCCTCCTCCTCCTCCTCCTTTTGCGTGGGTCGGACCTGATGCGTGGCAAGGCCGGGGGCTGAGCACAGGCAGCCCTCCAGAGGCCGGGCGCACGCTGACAGGGAGCACGGATCCGAGGACCTGGCGCGTGGGGGAGAGCCCCTGCACAAAAGCGGGGTCCGCCGCGACTCGACGCGCCGCGCCTCCTCGGCTGGGGGGAAGCCCAGGCTGGCCTCGGCAGGCACCATGGAGCGGTGCAGGGCGGCCTTGACGCCCCCGCCCCCCCGGGGCGCGGAGCGCCCTCGGGGGGGCGGCCGGTGCACAGCCCCGAGGCCCTGCCGGTCGGTCCCCGGGCCCCTCCCGTGGCCCAGCCTGGGCAGCATTGCGTCCCGGATCGACGACGCCGGGGGCCCGCAGCGGGCCCCCGGAGGCCCCAAAATCATAGAGCATTCCCACGGCGCGATCTCTTCGACTCCCCCTCCTCTGCAAGGGTCCATTCAACCCTCTATTGCGAAACGCAGCCGAGGATGCGCCGCGGCTTTCTCAGGGCGTTCCGGAACGAACGCTCTGAGAGCGTTCAGGAACGCTCAGGAGTGATTGATCCCGATGCCTGGGCTGGTCTGAAGCGGGCCCCTGAAAGCCAAAATCGAAGAGAAACCTCCAGTGCGATTTCCTTCGAATCCCCCTATCTGAGGAAGGCTCACTCGAACGGCGATCGGGAAACTCGGGAGCTCAGAGATGGGGCCCTGCGGGACGGGGCCCCAGGGACAAGTACCTCAGGCAGTGAAGCTTTAGCTTGCCATTGTCAAGGAGCGAAAAAAGCCAAGGCATAAGCCCTATTTCTGAGGTCCGCGCGTATTTCTTGGATCGGCGCTGGACCCCCTCCCCGGCGCGCGGGGCGCTCCGGGGGCGGCGCCGTCATGGGGGCCCAGCGCCAATCCAAGAGATCCGCGGGGAGCTCAGAGAAACAGAGCTTCCGCCGCTCTTCTGCCTCTGGGCATCGCTCGGACGTCCATTCCCTGTGTTTTTTTCGGTTTCGTGCGTGTTTTTTTCCGCCAAATGATCAAGGATGCTCCTCGGTGGTCCTCGCCGAAGGAAAAATGCACACGTCCGAGCGATGCCAAGGCCTTCGAGATCAGCTTCCTACTCTCAGGTCCCCATCCTCAGGTCGCAGGCAAGATGTCCGATCCGAGGGGTCGGCCTCTCCAGCGCCTGGGGAGCGCCTCGGGCCCCACACAAGCGTGTCGGCACTCGGATATCCGACCAACACTCTTCAAACATCCAAGATCTGGAACATGAGATCCCTCGGATCGGATGCGTACAACCAAGCTGCTGAAATAAGGGACGTTAAACAGGGATCGACCGTCCGGGCATTCCTATAGACCTACCACGACACTTCTTAGAACAAAGCACGTTCTCACAACAAAAGCAAGGTTCTTAGAACATCGCGCCGATGTCTTAAACCAAAACGGTCTCGGCCAGACATTCCCTAAGACCATTTCGCGCAAACCACAACATGTTCTTAGAACAATCTTTGGTGGGCCTCTAGGCGACCCAGGACGCTTCGCCACTGGTTCACTTTTCGGTGCCAGAAGAGCTCGGGTGCACGAGGAGGGCCAGAGGAGCAGCCACGGAAGGACCCGAAGAACGGCGAACTCCTTCCGAACCCATGCCGGCCCTTATGACTTCAGCGTCCTGGCCGTATCTTGTTTGGGCTCTAACCTTTGAGCAACCAATCTCCAGGAGGCGGCCCAACCCTCGGCTTGTATCGGCGACCGGGCCGGACGGGAGGGGCGGGGTGCTGGTCGGGAGCCTTGAGACGGGGGTCAGTGCACACGGGGGTTACTGCAGGACCCTGACCCCCCCCTACTCGTCCTCGTCCTCCTCGTCCTCCTCGTCCTCCTCCTCCTGCTCCTCCTCCTCCTCCTCCTCCTCCTCCTCCCGAGGTCTCGGCGCGCTGGCGCCCGCCGGCTGGGTCGCTGTAGCTGCGGCTGCGGCCCCGCCGCTGGTCGCGCCGCGCCGGGGCGGCGGCGGCGGCCCGCGTGCCGCCGGCCGCGTCGGCCTCGGGCGCGCGACACGGCTGCCACGGCGGCGGCGGCGGCGGCGGCGGCGGCGGCGGCGCGCGAGGGCGACGGCGATCGCGGCGGCGGCGGCGGCGCACGGCGGCCGCGTCGGCCTGGGCGTGAAAGAGAAAGCACACTATAGGAAAAAACAATCAACAAACACACAAAAACACACACACACGTGGGGAAAAAACACACACAACAAACACACAGTGTGTTTTTTTCCCCACAGTGTTTTTTTGTGGTTTTGTGTGTGTGTGTTTTTCTACGGGCGACGGCGGAGACGGCGGCGGCGGCGAAGGCGGCAACAGCGGCGACTGCGCGTGGCGCCCGAGCGCAGAAAAGGGCTGCGAGCGGAGGGCCGCGGGCCGCGCCCCGTCGGCGGGTGTGGGCTCCTGGCGCCCGGGAGGCCCTCCTTCGATCCGACAGCGCGGGGCCCCACTGCCCAGAGCAGCTTCTGGCGCCGGGAGTGCCCGCTTCTGCTCGCAGGGGCCAGTGCGAGCCACGCAAGGAGGGGCGGGGTCCGAGCGATCGAGCCAGGGGGGGGTGGGCGGGAAGGTCAAGCCTCTCGGGTGGAGGGGGCCAAGCGCACAGTCCCATCCCCCTCCACGCGTGGTGAGCATTTTTCCCCCACACTGTGTGAGTCTTTTCCTCCTCCACCCGTGGTGAGCCTTTTTCACCCGTGGTGAGCGAGGGCCAATCCAACCTGTGGTGAGCCTTTCCCCCCCGCCCTGACGTTGCCCCTGGCCCCTGCGGTGTCACCACATGCTGATTTGGCGCGTCGAATTCTCGGCCACTCCTCCAGCAGGGCCTTTGCCCTCCGGCCTCTACGCTCCTGGCCTGCGACGGCAAGGCGGCGCCCAGACCCCCCGCCCAGGACTTCCCAGAGTATCCCTCCCATTTCCCCCCTCCTCCCCCTTCCTCCCTTCTCCCCTGTCTCCTCCTTCTCCCTCCCCCTTCCCCTCCCTCATTCTTCCCTATTGACGTTGCACAGACTGAAGCACGAAGTGGCTGAAGCGCCATGTGGAAACAAGAAACAGAGCGACGACCGACTTCACTAGGCGATGTGACCTCAGTGCGGCTGCTGGTAACCGCGGAACACAGAGAGGCAAATGAGACCAGGAAAACACGAATTATTCTTCTTCTCCTCCGTCCTCCTCCTCCTCCTCCTCCTCCTCCCTTTCCTCCTCCTCCTCCGTCCGAGAGCGGGGGCCGCCTGCAAGGTTGGCGGCCAACCGAACTTCGCCAATCGGAGTTCTCGCACTGCGCGGTCTCAAGCGTTCACTCACGATGGCTTCGGGCAGACGCACGAGCTCCACGAGCCCGATCCCTCCTCCTCCTCCTCCTCCTCCTCCTCCTTTTGCGTTGGCCAAACTCTGAGCGACGGGGCTCCTAGCGCCTGAGACTTCGAACGGCGAGACAAACTATCCTAGTACGACTTACGCGTGCGAACAACAACTCTAACTCTTATCACCTTGGCAGACCAAGCGGGGAAAGGAGGTGACAGAGGCTGCGGAAGAATTGGAAGCCCACGCGGGCATAGAGTAGTAGTCTTGCAGGTGTTGGCAAGGTAAATCCTTCCTTCCCTCCCTCCTTCTCTTCCTCCTCCTCCTCCTCCTCCTCCTCCTCTGGATGGAAGAGGAAAAAGACCATCACGGCCTTCACCCTGTTGATCCGCGACAGCACGACGGCGTCGGGGTCCCGGACCACGCCGAGCAGCACGAAGCCGTTCCGGCCTGCCGGCGGCCGCGCGCCGACCCCCCCCCCCTCGAAGCGGGGAGCGGCGCTTTCCGGAGGGCACCCAAGCCCGCCCCTCGATGGCCAGGGCGCACAAGCCTAGGTCAACACGGACCCAAGCTGGCCAGGGCCCTGTCGCGAAGCCGGGCCCGCCGCTCAGCAGCTCCCGAACCTGAGGACCTGTGTCGGCGGAGGGCGGGAGAAGGGGGAATCGGCCCCGCGTGGCTCCCAACCCCCGGTCAGCCAGAGGCGGTTGGCTGACCCCCGTTGCGTGAGCCACGACCCTCCCTCCCTCACCCTCCTCCGGTTCCCTGCAGGCGCCTTCCACCGGCTGGTACTCGCAGGTTCCATTGGCAGGGTTCGTCCAGCCCCAGATCTCTGGCGGATCGATTTTGCCAACCCTGCCTTTCTCTTTTATTTCGACCTCCAGGGGCTGCTTTCGGACCCCGGCGCCATCGGATACGGATCCCAGATAGAAAACTGGCCCCAGGGAAGGGGTCGAGTGCCCTGGGTGTGGGATTAGACAAAACAGTCACGATTGCAGATATAATTCCGGGTATGAGGATCCTTAATGCGCAAACCCCAGTACTTGCAAAGGAATTTGATACTCTCTGCGGGGACCCTGCGGGAGAACCCGAACAACACTGAGCCCCTTGTGAATCAGAGGCGCTCCTTCTTTCGACGCCCCGGGTGCGTGAACCAAAGAAGACTCGCCTCAGAAGACCCGAAACGATTTCTAGCAACATATCAAGCTGGCCCTGTACTGTACTTAAAACCGCAAACAAGTGAACGGCGTTCAAAAACGCTCGGCTGGCTTCTAGGGAGATGCAAGCAGACACGCCCGGCCGACATTCTGTAACTGCGCTGCATGATCTGCCACATATTAATGTGCATGTCATGTGTACACGCATTCGTGCTTCTTGCGTGTGCGCTGCTGGCATCCTGAAGGTATACTCGCTGGTACGATTTCCAATGCGGCGCATGTGTGACTACAGCCCGCATGCGCGCACACACACATTCACATACGCGGATCCTGATCATTGCGTGCCTGATGATCAAGCAAACTATGCACATCCTTCCTGCAGTCATGAACGTGGTGCCTGGACTGGAGACGCCCCGACCATATGGTATGATGAATACCAACCACCAGACGCAACAATGATAATGATCCTCGGAGGACTATGTTTGCAGCCTTGTTGCATGATGAAACCATCGGCCAACTGCTCAAAACTTCTACGCGGTTGGCAATCACCCGACCGCCAGGTGATCTCCAAACATCAGCTTTTGCTTGTTACCAAGACGCGGGAAGCATACACGTCAACACACAAACACAAAACACATACGGCAGGTTCGTGTCGTGCCGACCCCAGCGTTGGTTTTTGACACCTCAGGGATCGTTCAACCTTGAACGATCGGCCGCTGCCGCAACGTCCGATCGTTCAACATCGATCGATTCTGGGTCGCCGGCGGCGTTCAACCTTGAACGCCCGCGCTGGGGTCGCCGCGGGTCGACACGACGCAAACCTACCGTACACACACCGCACCACACCACACCACACCACACCACACCGCACACAACACAACACAACAACACACGCTACGACACGACACGACACGGCACGGCCCGACACGGCACAACACACAAACACAGACACAGACACAAACACCATCACCAACACACACACACACACACTACACCACAACACACATGTGTGCGTCGGCGGCTAGGCAGAATCACTGCGCTGGCAATGAAGCGTTAGTGGGGCACCCACAAAACGCGAATTAAGCCGCAGTGCGCGGGGGAGGCAGCAGGACGCCCGGCGCGGGCAGGAGGAAAACGGAGACCGGGCCCGCTGAGAGCCACAACGCACACACACACACCACAACACACAAACACACACACACACTCACACACACACACACCGCAACGCACCAACACACACACACGCACACACACACACACACCACAACGCACAACCACACACGAACACAACCACGCACACACACACATTTTTCCTCCAGCGGCGAAGTGGCGTCACCGTCGCGCAGCGCTCAGCCAAGTGGGGTCACAGTCGCGCAGCGCTAAGCTGGGAAACGCTTAGGCGAGCGTCCACCTGGCGTAGCAAGTTGATGACTGGACAGAGACAGTGGCTTCCATAAAAAAACGGGAGCGCTCGTGCACGTGGAAGATGCCGGATCGGTCATGCAAGCGCAGAAATTGTGGCCGAGCACCTCCCAGTGGCCGGTAGGCAATGGCTGGAAAGACGGGGGCAGCGTGCGGTGAGAGCGTCGGGGGGAAAACGTGATGCTGACCGTGCTTGTGCACCCCGAATGTAAGAGCGTGCCGACACGTGTATGAACAAGGTCGGCTAAGGCAGACACGACAAGGAAAGTGGATCACCGACACACAACACACACGCAGACAGAGACAGAGACAGAGACACAGACGCAGATACAGACACAGACCGACACACACAGACACACAAAGACAAACACAGACACACACAGACACAGACACGCACAGACTGTTTTTTGCGTCGGCGGCTGGGCAGAGGTAGCTGCGGCGATCGGGCATCGGTGGGGCGCGCTAGATCCAAATTGTGCCGCAATGCGCGGGGGGCGAGGAAGAGACCCTGGCGCAAGCGGGAAAGGAGGAAGCCGGGCCCTGCAGGCAAGTCCCGGCTGCGGCGGGCGGGCGCCGGGGGGGGCCCCGCGGGGGGAGCCAGCTGCAGCGCCGGGCAGTAGCTGGGGGGGGCGGCAGTCCGACGGCGGCGGGCAGCGCCAGGGGGGGAGCAGGGACAACGAGTGGGCAAATATGGAAAAGCCAGACCTGCCGGTGCGATATCAGCTCACAAGAAGTACCAACTGGGGGACATTGACGAGCAGCAAACGGCTGCACGGAGAAAGAGCCTGTCACATGTTGCAAGCAGTGGACCACGCCGGCGGGGGAGCCGGCGGTGCTGGCGAAGACCCAGCGGCTTGGGCAAGCGCCGAAATCTGGTGATCTGCGAGGCGCGATGGAGGGGGGAGAAGGGCGGAGCGCCAGCGCACCGCGAGTGCGCTGCTGAGAGCATGGCCAATAACAGCGGCAGGCGTGTAAGCAACGGGCAGGAGGCAGAGCAGCGGAGCCGCGCCATCATGGGGGATCGGCGTGGAACTGGGAAGGGCCAGCAAATGAGGGGCAGGCGCCGAGATCTGGTGACATTCGAGGCGCGGGGAGGCGGGGCGGGCAGTGCATGCCGCCGCGGCTGCCATGCAGCAGCCGGGGCCAGACAGCGCGGCTGGTGCATGGCGAGAGGCCAGCCCGAAAACCAGGCGGGCGAGGGGGGCCCGGCAAGAGGCTGCCGAGGTCGGCCGGCCTGGGTGCGGCAAAGCGGTGGAGGGTGCCACAGGCGGCGCCCGAACAGAGCCTGCAAAAGGCTGGCGAATCCCCGGCCAAGGCGGGGGGTTGCAACGGCTGGGCAGGACGGCCTCCAGCAGGGTGGAGGTGGCCTCGGGGCCTGCGGCGGGCGGCAAGCCTGGCCCGCCCGAGGCACGCGCGACAGCCGACTCCAGGAAGGAGTGTGAAGAAAAGAGGGGGAGCGCAGCCGAAAGCTGGCCCGCAGGACCTGGGCCGCGGCAGGCCGGGCGGAGAGCACTAGCGCAGCCCCGGGCGGCAGCCTGGGGCACGCGGCATGTGGCGGCGCCGAAGAGGTGCAGCGTCGCGGATAAGGAAGGGGGGGAGGCGCTGGCCGAGACGGCAGCTGGGGGCACAGGGCGACAGGGGGGGAAGGTGGCCAGACAGGCCGCTACCAGCCCCGCAGTGGGGATGACCCATAATAGGTCAGGACAGGCGCGCCTGCCATGTCGGGGGAGCCACCAGTGGTGGCTGCGCGCCCCGGACCACCGCTGGCGAGTGGGGTCGTTGCTGGGCCAAGATGTGTCGGCAGGACGCTTGCCTTTCCCCTGTGGCGGGGGACGCTTCCCTTTGGCAGCCTAAGCGCTTTGCCTCCTTTTTTCCATTTCACGCTCCCACTCGGCGTCCCAGTCAACGCGGATGCCCTTGTACCTGCGCAGTGCGCGGACATCGTAGTTGGCCAGGCCGAGGTCGGACGCGAAGCCCGCGCAGAAGTCGGGTGTGTGTCGGCAGGGGTTCTTGGACGAGTACTACCCCAGTTTATGGTTGCACGCGGCGTTCCAGCCGGTCGCCAGCATGGGGCCGCATTCCTGTTTGAGGCGGTTGACTACCTCATGCCGCTCCTCTCTCGTATTGGTCTTATAGTTTCAGCAGGGCTGCCACGGCACCCTTCGCCGCGGCTTGTGGTAGAGCTGATCCTTGGCATCGTAATAGGGTCGGTCGTCACGGCGGCGAACAGGATTGCGAGATGGAGCTCACCATCGCTCGGACGTCCATTCCCTGTTTTTTTCCGGTTTCGTGCGTGGTTTTTTCGCCAAATGATCAAGGATGCTCCTCGATGGCTCTCGCCGAGAAATTAGCCTGGCGAAGGACCCGACCATATGCAGTTGTGAGTACCGTCGTTGTGAGTATCGCAATCGGTGGAGATCCCCATGGGCCACGAAAGGCTGTCGTGGGTGGGGGAGACGCATGTGAGTGCAGCCACTGGGGCCTTCGGTGGAGCTCCCTATAGTGGCCACGAAACGCTTTCCTGGGTGGGTGGAGGCGCATGCGAACTGCGCCACTGGGGCTTTCGGTTGAGCTCCCTGTGGGGCCACGAAACGCTGTCCTGGATGGGGGAGACGCATGCGAGTGCAGCTGGGGCGTTCGGTGGAGCTCCATATGGGGCCACGAAACGCTGTCCTGGGTGGGGGAGACGCATGCGAACTCCGCCACTGGGGCTTCGATGGAGCTCCTTACGGGGCTACGAAAGGTTGGCCTGGGTGGGGGGGACGCATGCGAATTGCGCCACTGGGGCCTTCGGTGGAGCTCCCTATGGGGCCACGAAGCGCTGTCCTGGGTGAGGGAGACGCATGCGAGAGCAGCCACTGGCGCCTTCGGTGGAGCTCCGTGTGGGGCCACGAAACGCTGTCCTGGGTGGGGGAGATTCATGCGAGAGCAGCCACTGGGGCCTTCGGTGGAACTCCCTATGGGACCACGAAACGCTGTCCTAGGTTTGGGGGGCGCATGCGAGAGCAGCCACTTGGGCTTTTGACAACGAAAAAATGTCCTAGGTGGGGGAGACGCATGCGAGAGCAGCCACACGGGCCTTCGGTTGGGCTTCCTATGGGGCCACGAAACGCTGTCCTGGGTGAGGGAGACGCATGCGAGAGCAGCCACTGGCGCCTTCGGTGGAGCTCCCTATGGGGCCACGAAGCGCTGTCCTGGGTGGGGGAGACGCATGCGAGAGCAGCCACTGGCGCCTTCTGTGGAGCTCCCTATGAGGCCACGAAACGCTGTCCTGGGCGGGGGAGACGCATGCGAGAGCAGCCACTGGCGCCGTCGGTGGAGCTCCATATGGGGCCACGAAACGCTGTCCTGGGCGGGGGAGACGCATGCGAGAGCAGCAATTTGGGCCTACGGTGGAGCCCCCTATGGGGCCACGAAGCGCTGTCCTGGGTGTACCGATGGAGGGAGGAGGGGGAGGGAGGAGGGGGAGGAGGAGGATGAGGAGGAGGAGGATGAGGAGGAACGCGGGGCACCGTCTCTTCAAAACGAGGACCCAACACCACAGGATGGTTGGACAAAAACACACGTCCGAGCGATGCCAGGGGAGGGTCGACCTGTCGCCATGGCGGGGTCCGCTCCACGGCGCCACTCCCGCGCCCCCTTCTGGAGGCACCTGCGCTGTGCTGCTCATCCGTCCGGGCGGTCTGGCGTGCAGGCTCTTCCCCGCTGCCTCGCCGGCCGCCCCCGTTGGGCGGCTCCGCCTGCAGGGCCTGTCCGCGGTCAGGGCTGGGAGCTGGGCGCGCATCACTGGGCGGCTGCGGAGAGCTGCTCGGGCTGCGGCTCCCATCGTCCTTGCTGAGCGCAGGGCTGCCTGGGGGGGGGGGCGCTCCTGTGGGCTCCGGTCGCAGCTCGACGAGCTGGGGTGAGCGAGCGACGCTGAGGGGGGACTGGAGCTGCTGTCGCGCCGTTTGCGCCCTGCCTCTGGGGGGCCGTTTGGCGCTTCAGACAGTCGCACGCGCCCGTCCTCGCTGCCGTTGGGCGTCGACCTGGACTCCTCGATGGAGGGGCTGGGTTACAGTCGAACCTGTTTGACTCGCGCCTTGGGGGGGCCGGGGGCGGCGGCAATTCGAGCTGCGTTGGGCGTGGCGCGGGGTCGTTGGGTTGGCTGCTTCCTCCGCCCTCCCTGGCTTCTGTGCGCTGAGGGTGGGCAGGCGCCGCCTGCGGGGGAGCACCGCTGCGGGCGTCTGACACCGCAGTAGCAGGCAACCCGCGGACAAGAGGGTCCTGCAGGCAGGTGCCGCCCCTCGAACTCAAGTAGCCGAGCAGATCTCCTGGCTGCACCACGCGGCGTCTCGTCCTTTCGCGGACGCTCAGGGGTCGTGTTTGTTGCGGTGCGCGTCCCATGCGTCGGGTTCACCGAGGCCGCTGGCGGGGCCGTGACGCCTCTGGCGGTGAAGGTGACTGACTAGCAAAGCCAGGGTGGCGCGCTCACCGTCCCACTGGACACCTGGGGGAAGCCCGGAGGGCGGGATGGCGTCCCTGTAGACGGTGGTGAGGAATTCCTGGCAGCTCGCTGCAAACCAGGCCCCGGGGTCAGCGGGTGCTCCCATTTCCTTTCTGGGCCTGCGGAGAGAAGAGGACCTGTTCTGCGCCGTCCAGGTCCTCCAACGTTCGTCAACCAGAGGGGCAACGGAACGGGCAAACGCCACCATTATGTGTGCAATCGCGTTGTCTGCCTTCCCAGGCGAGGGGTCGGGACGGATGCGTCTGCCTGCCTGGGGCAGGCCGGTGGATCAACGCTGGGGAGGTCGTCCACGAGGCTGGCGGGAGGCCGCGGCGGCGGCGTTGGCAGCATTGCTGGGACATCGCCACCTGCCCTTCGAGGCGAGGTGGGACGGCTGCGCCTGACCTGCGTGTGGGCGGTGGGCTGCGGTGGTCTGCGCGGCGATGCCCGGGCGATGCGCTGCGCCGACGGTTGGGTGGGGATGTGGAGGACCTAAGTGGGTCGGTGGAGCTGGAACTGGCCCACACACACAGACACACACACACACAGACACACATAAGCGCACACACAAACATACACACACGCACACACACGTTAACACACACACACACGCACACCCACGCACACACACCCACGCACACACGCACACACGCACACACGCACACACGCACACACGCACACGCACACACACGCACACACGCACACGCGCACACTATGCACGCTCGCACGCACGCACGCACGCACACACACACACGCACACACACGCGCACACACGCACACACGCACACACGCACACTCGCACACACGCACTCACGAACACACGCACACACGCACACGCGCACACACGCACACACATGCACACACGCACACACACACACACACTCGCACACACGCACACACGCACACACGCACACGCTCACAAACACACCATACACTACACACACCACACACACCACAAACACCACCCACCACACACACACCACACCACACACACACACACACACCACACACCACACACACCACACACACCACACACAACACACACAACGCGCACACAACAGGCACACAACAGGCACACAAACACACACAAACACACACAAACACAAACACACAAGCACACAAACACACAAGCACCACACAAACACACACAAACACACAAACACACAACAACACACACACAAACACACAAACACACAAACACACACAAACACACACACGCACACGCACACGGACTCGCACACACACGCACACACGCAAACTCACAAGCACAACACAACACAGCATACAAAGACAAACACACACACACACACGTACACAAAGCTGCATTCATATTCAAAAGGCGCATGCACCCGCGAAGGCCCGGTGGCGTACCCCGCCACACGAAGGCGGGATGCTGACAAACAGGCAGGCACATGTGGGCGCATGCGTGTCCGCACCGTGGCCAAGCCGTCTGCGCCACCCTCCTGGTGCCCATCCCGCCGCAGTTGCTGGGGGGTCCAAGGTTTCTCCTGAGGTCCCTGGAGGCCCGAAGATCTACAGAGAGGTCCCAGAGCCTCGATCCTCGAACCTCGAGGGTCGAGGAGGCGCCTCCGTCCGTACCCATGACGGTGCCCTGCTGCGCCTTCGTCAACTTGAGGAGTTCCTCTTCTATCCGCTTGCAGAGCTTGTTCGTCGATACGAACTCCTCGAGGGTCTCCTCCTGCGCGCCTCCTGGGCGGCGATGCTCGAATGGCGGGAATATGACGTGGCCCTGAAGCCGAACCATCCCTTGTGCCGTTGTGTTTTATACTGTCCTGTCCTTCTCAGGGCCCTCAAACCAAAGAAGCTGTACGACTCATGGTGCTCTTCTTCTGGCGAGGGCCTGGTGGCCTCCGAGGCCATTGACGGAACCTCTGGGGTCTGTGGGAGGCCGCGGGGCTGGTGGGCCTCTCTTGGGGACCATCTCGGAACCGACCTCGACATCTCGTGGGGACCAGTGGTGTCTCGTGGGACTACTGTCGGGAACTCCTGCTTAGCATGTCGCGGCGGCGGCTCGGGCGACTTGCAATGCCGTGCCAGCGGATAGCGTGCCGCCCCACTCCGCGGGGCGGAGTCCGGGCAGGTCTCGGGACGTCGACGCCCGGGGACCGCGACGTGGGCAGCGTGTCGCGCCGAGGCGCGGTGGGTCGGAACCAGCGCAGCGCCGCGTGAAGCCAGAGCTCCTGACCGTATCCTGGGGGCCTCTTGGCCCACTTGGGGGTGCCGGGGCGCCTGCCATCTGGACCCTCCTGGGGCGCTTTTCGGGATTCCCTGGGCTTCTCCGGGGCCTCTGGGGGCCCCGTGACTCCACTTTGAGCTTCTCTTGCATCGTCTGTGAAGCTTCTTGGGCCATCTGTGTGCCATGCTGGGGGTCCTAGGCCGTCTTGGATCCCGCGTTGGGACCTCTTATGCAGCTCTTGGGGACCTCGTGGGGCTGTCTCAGGGGCCTCTTCGGGCTCCCTTTGGCGGTTTCGGGGCTCTTTTCGAGCGTCTCGGGGCTCTCTTCGCCACCTCTTGGGCCGTCTTGGGGCGACCTGGGAGGCGCAGGAACCGTCTTGGGCCGCTCCTGGCCCGAAGCAGCGGGAACCTGAAAAGGCTTCAGGAACTTAGGAAAATCAGTAAATGTCGCCTCCTTGGGCCGGCATCGAAGTTCTCCTGGGCCGTCTTGTGAGCCGTCTCTGTTCAGGCCCTGGGCTGTCAGGGACCTTCATTCGGGACCTCGTTGGCCGTCCTGGCGCCCTCTCGAGCGTCTCAGAGCCGTCGTGGGGCCGGCAAGCGCCGTCTTGGGGCCATCATGGAGCGCCCTGGCGGCTCTCGGGGCGCGCCGGCGGCCTTTCGGTGCACAGGCCCTTCTGGCACGCAGGGGGCCTGGCAATTTAGGGGAGAGATGGCGTGGGGCTCCAGCTTCTCCTCCCGCATCTCGCTGAACAGCGTCCGTGCCCGCGGCACTTTCTCGCCTTTCCCGCACACGCTGGCTCCAGCTTTGTAGGGCGAGCCCACGCAGCGGCATCTGCAGTAGCTTCCTGCGCGATGGACCGCCACTGGAAAAATCACGGTGGTTGTCTGGCCCCACATGCAAAATATTCGAAAATGTGAAACACCGCTCTGAAGATTGCCCGGGGATCCTGCACAATCGCGAAACGACCTCTGGTACGTTGTGGTACCCATATTGTAACTGATGTTGTCGGGTTCTAAGCTGTTCTCCCGCATATCGCCGAGCAACGACGACGCACGCCGCCACTGGCCCCATCTCTCGCACGTGCTGATCTTAGTTGTGTAGCTGATAGCGCCAGGCTCCAGCTTCGCCTGCTTCATCTTGGCCAGCAGTGCCAACACACGCTGCCACTGCTCGCCTTTCCCACAAGTGCAAATCCCAGCGCTGTAGCTGATGGTGCTGGGCTCCAGCTTCGCCTCCCCTAAAAACAACAAAGCTGAAGATGCGGGTCAAGGATTAGCAGATCGGCTACACCCAAAAAGACTTGTCACTACTGTATCTTGAGCGCTTTTTGGGTAAACGTGGCTGCGGATGCTAACGTTATTGATGAGGGTAAGGATCAGGAGGATGCAAGAGGAGGGGCATGTATGACGAGGGGAGGAGCAACAACATCGCGATCAACAACGCGACATTGGGAGAACAGGTGCCGTCTAGTCCGCGAGTGCTCTTCGAAGGAGGGAAGAAAGGGATAAGGTCGAGACGGGGGAAAACTGTGGGGGTCTCGAAGTGGGTCGCCTCGTGATTCTCCCTTTCCTGCGGCGTAGGCTGCGCAACAGGTTCATCCTTATCGCCTAAGCTGGGCACGGACAGCAGGGAATACAACTTGGGACTCCTGCTTTGACAGCGGTCGACTCCCTAGTCGACGACGCGATTTACTGCGAAGTTCGTTGCACAACATGTAAGCGCAAGCTGGAACTCTAAGAGGGGCCTCTGTGGGTGACAAAATTCAGAATCGCTCCAGGGAGATCCCACGGCGGACTCCAAAAGCTGGAAGAACAACGGGCAAGCCCAATAATGGGCGAACGGATCTTCTCCTCCTTCCTCGGGCGGGCACCCACAGAGACAGAATGGATTTTCAGTCTGTTGAAACCTACGTTGCGTCGGCCAATTTTTCGAAAGCGCCCTAGCGGCGGCAGACGAAAGGGCGACGGGCATGGAGGCAGGAGTAGCGCGGACCAGGGGCCAGTCAACGGTAAGGATGCGAGCCCTTTCGGCGGGAGACAGCTCGCAGAGACGGGCGGAAAATAAATCCCCAAGAAACGCGGGATACATGGCCGCTGAGATGCTGTGCGCTACAGACCGCTGAATTTTCGGGCGCGGGGTTCTCATTGGGCTCACTGAATATCGCTGGTGTTCCGCTCGGGCCTCGAGGAGAGCAGGAAGGCGTTGATCTCGCAACCTCTCGGGCAGATGAAGTCCAGCGAAGGCGTCGGACATGTGCCGGCACAGGGCGGCGACGAATCCCCGCGAAGGGCCGGCGCGAAAGGGCGGCGTCGTTCAGCAACATTGCGCAGGGTGACGAGAGACCCTCTCCACGAAAAGGTACTGATAGCGGCGCGGGGGCGGGCGGCAAGACAAGTGGCGGGTGACGAAGAGATGCGATGTCCTCCCCCTTCCTTCCAGTCGCACCATCCTCACTGACTCAATCCACAGTGCGGCAAGTGAAACACCCTTGAGAGCATCGCCGACCCGAGGCGCGGCAGGTCTGCGGGCGCCGGCAAGAACTGGGCCACATAGCTCATGACTGAGGAGACGCGGGGCGAGCACTGGTTGGCGGAGACGGCGTTCGAGGCGCCGACCTCTGCGAGCTCGAAGGTCCTATGCCGCCACTTGCGAGACGGGCCTGCCCAGCACTGTTGCTCTGCTTCGGGGCCGAGGTGCATTCCCAGATACTTGATGATGTTCGCGATTTGGAAATCGGCCCACGAGGTAACCATATGTTTCAACTTAACTCTGTAAAGCATCCTGCGAGCCACCGTTCCAGGACCAGCGAGGGGGGGATCTGGCATTTCGATACATTCAAGAGCAGAGCACCAAGCTTGGCGGCGAGTCGGAAGATGCGAAAGAGCTGCTGCATGCACTGCATCTTGACCGAGGCGGTGCCGATATCGTCGGCGCAGAGACGAACTACCCCACGATGCTTGACTTCAATGGTAGAATGGAAATGAGCCATGACAAGGTTCCATACATATCGCAAACAAGCTCCCCGAGGCAGGGCGTCCCTGGATAATGCCAGCCAGAATAGGAAACATAAACAGCATTTCGCCTCCGAGCTCCGAGAAGCAGGAAACTCCGTAGCACGGAAACTTGATGCAGTCAAGCAGCGGGGTGGGCAGGGCGAGTTCGGCAAGAACGAGATGCAGCCGGCGGTGCGACGCCGACGGGAACGCTTGGGCGAAGTCGAAGGCCGCAACTAGTGGTCAGTCCTCCTCCACTGAGGGCCTCATAGAGCAACGCATTGCCATCGCATCTAGTTCGACGATGTGAGTCCCAAATTGTCCGCCACTGATGAAACCTCGTCGTAACCGGTTCGCTTTCTCGGCCCGGGCCCTGGAACTAGTAAACGCAATAGTGGCAGTGATGACCTTGATATCAATGTTTCATCCCAGCGGACGTAGTTTATCGCATTCTCAGTTGCATTTTCCTCCACCCAGATCTCCGCCCCCCTCGCCCTTCGGGATATTTGCGCCCAGGAGATGCCGGAGGCCCCAGAGAACCCATCCTCCGCCATGAAGCCAGAACATCATCTCATGCAAAACAGTGGTAGCCTGCGGAGCCCGCTGCCAGGCCGCGCAAGGGGCGCAATCGGGACCAGGGGCGCTATGAGACTGACGCCGAAGCACAGAGCGTAGAAGCTTGTGAGAAGGCGGAGGGACATCGCTTAGGTCTAGATGCGATGTGATCTTCTGAATGCAAGTGCGGGCGAGGTCTAAAGGCGTGCCCTTCTCAACAAAAACTGAGCCCCAGTGCTGGCCGATGGCGCTGGCCATGTCCAAGGGGTCTGACAGGAGTTGGTCGCCGCGGCGGATGCCTCGAACGTGCGCGCCGCGATCAAACGGCGCCCAAAGCTCGACCCTACCCTGGGGTCTGCGGAGACGTTGGCGGAGACGCTTCCGTTCCGAACCTTCAGAGTTGGCCGGGGGATTTTTCCCCGAAGCTTTGATTTTCTCCACGTGGTCGGCTTCTTCCGAAGAGTTGGCCAGGTCCGCGCAAATGCCCCGGAATCGTCAGAGGTAAACGTCGTCATCTCCGCATTCCAGACAAGACGCTGTTGTGCAAGAGGATCGCATTCATTGAGGCGACGCCCCAGAACCAAATCTAGTTCCAAACAGCTTGAGCAAGCGATCGACAAATAATACGTTTTCCCAGTGAAGAGTCAGAAGCAGCCCCCAGAGAAGCGTTCCGAGCAGACCTCGCACCCTCCCTCATCAGCATCTTAAGCCAGGCCAGGCGCACAGGCGGCGGGTAAATCACGAGGTCCGCCCCGTCGAAACAGGCCCGAACGCGCCTTGGATGCGCAGGGGTGCCAAACAGGTCTCGATTGATGGGCCTTTCCTTCTTATGCTGGGGCGGGGGTGTGGGGTGTGGGGGTGGGGGGGGGGGGTGTGGGGTGGTGGTGGTGGTGGTGGTGGTGGTGGTGGTGGGTGGGGTGGGGTGGGGGGGGTCGATGGTAATGGCAGCGTGATCCGAAAGCTCGATGTTTCACCACCTCGACGAGACCTTGAGTGACCCCGCAAATATTGAACTGCCTAACGGCCCAACTCGGCAGAACAGTGATGAGCCTATCTAGGGTGCTCATCGTGTCATTCGGCGCGTAGATGTGGGTCGGATCTGGCATCTGGCAAGTCACCGACGAGGATCGCAATCTTGTCGAGGGGGTCTTGTTGAGCCTCGCGGAGCCTGCCCGGAGTATGCCGAGATATGCGTTGTTTGTCTTCTCGCAAGAGTCCATAATTGTGAATCCTGTAGCGCGCAATCCAAGACTTCCCGGAACCAATCTGAATGTCCGTAGAGAGAACCCGCCCAGGAACCATATCCTCACAATCGAAGTCCACCGGGATCTCAGAGCACCGATGGATAGGAACTACAGTGACCACCCCACCAGCAGCGCGCGGCAGGAAGCTGGCGACACACTGGTACGCCTTGCGCAGGGGATGAAGCATGTCCCTAGCCTCCTCCGAGCCGTGGGACTCCAGAACCGCGATGATGGACGACGGGGGCATCAACGAAGAGAGGTGGGCGAAATTCTTGGAGCGCAGGGCGTAGTCGCGGTGAAAGAGAGAGTTAGCGTTCCAGCTGGCGAAGCGAAGCGAGGTCGAGGAGGGGCCAGAACCCAGCCACGGCCTCGTGAAACCGTTGAAGAGACCACTGACCTTCATCTCCAGCAGACGGAGCGAGAGCAGCAGAGGTGCGGGCCTCGAGCATGCGCTTGTCCAGGCCGAGGGGCTGCAAGTTCGGAGTGTTCCACTCCGCGGTCGGCTCGGAGCCAGCAGGCGCAAGAGAGCATCGAATGAGCATCTTCCAGGCGATGGAGACCTCGCCGCGATCCTTGTCCACATGGAAACGCTTGTCGGGGTGGGCGGCCTCGAACTCGCGGCGGATGGTCTTCGAGCCGAGTTCTCGGCGTATAATGCACTGGCTCTTGTCCACAGATGCGTAGAGGTCGGTCCGCCCACCAGTCGGAAACTGAACGGCAAATTTCCTCCAGGAGCCGTCGCGGGAGCGAAGAGAACCGATGGCTTGACGAACTGCACGAGAGGCGAGATGAGCCTGACCAGTGGACTGAATGGTAAAACGTTTTGAAGCAGGGCCTTCGCTGGGTTCGTTGAGCTGGTAGTCGTCCACATCCAGGTTGGCATCCATGAGCAAAGGAGTGATTGCATCACGTACGGCAGTGTGAGTAACAAGGTCCTTGGGTCTGACCACAAAGATGGTAGGGTCTGCAGGCCTGTCGAAAGAGTTCGGGGTGGGGACCTTTTCCGGCGGGGGCTCGTTCTGAACGACGTGGAGCTCTTTCTGCAAGAAGGCAATCCGTTCTTCGAGCCTCGAAATCCTGCCGTCGTTGGAACCAAACTGGGTCTCAACCTTGTGCATACGGGTCTCAACTTGGCGATCCACTCCCTGGGCATGATCCGCAAAGGTGCGAGAGAGAGAGAGAGAGAAGCAACACTGGATTGAATCGAAACGATGGCAGCCATGACCTCACCGCGAGCCGAGTCGACGTAGGCGCGGAGGTCGTCGCGCCGGGGTCCGTTGGCAGTGCCACCACTGCCGCCGCCAAGGCCCACAGCAGTAGGAGTCTCTTCAAGATCATGAGCGTCTTCCTCAGGCGCGGGGTCACGAGTGCGAAACCGAGGGCGCTCATAAAGAGGAGGGGCACGAGCACCTGCGCTTCCTTTACCTCGAGCATTACTTGCCATGCTGCGCTAGCACACACGGTGACTGCAACCACAAATCCACATATTCCAGCACGCAAGGGCACGAGAGGCGAGAAGCAAAAAAAGGAGAAAAGTGCCGCCAGCGTACGACACGCTGGATCGCTCGAAAGAGAGCTGCCCAAAATGGGACCTGTTCCCACTTGAGCCAAAATGGCAATTGAATGATTTTCCCTTCCTCCTCCTCCTCCTCCTCCGTCCTGCCTCCTCCCCCCCCACCCGCGACGAATAGGAGAAAGTAAGACAGTGACGACAATGACGGCGACGGACGGCGGCGACGGCGGCAAATGCGGGCGGCGGGCGACGGCGTCAACGGCAGCAACGGCGACGGCGACGACGGCGATGGCGACGTCGGCGGCGACGGCGACGACGGTGGCGGCAGTGGCGGCGGGCGGCGTTCCTTCGCCGCGACTCGTGGACCTTTTCTTGTCCCCCCGCGACAGCTCGGCCTTGCGCGGGCGGGGCATCGCCGCCCACCGCGCGAGGGACGGCGCCGCCAGCGCTGTGCCGAGCCGCACGTCGCCATCGCTGCGGCCCTGCGCGGGCTTCTCCCGGCAGGCTGGGCAGGCGCTCTGTGAAAGGATGCAGTCACACTGCTACTTCTGCGGATTCGATTTCTGAAGGATGCCCGACGCCGCCGCGCGCCGCCGACGCTGCCCGGCGCAAGCTTCCCCCGACAGGCTGGGGCCCGAACGGGGACGGTTCTGTTGCTCGCGCATCTGTGCCCTTGCCCCACTCCGCCTGCATGCTGCCCGTGGCGGCAGCCATCGCCTCCGTGCTTCGCGCTTCTCTGCTGGGCCCCGCCCCCCTGAAGGCAGGCAGAGCCGTATCCCGTATTCCTGGCAGGCTGGGTGACGCCTCCTGGGGAACGAACGTGGTCAAGCTGCTGCCGTGGGGAACGCTGCATCCCCAAATATGCAATGTTCGGATTTTGTCATAAGGCGGTCGCTCAAAAATCTCGACCTATTTTCCTGGACGTGTTTTTCATCCTGAATCGTTTCTTGATGGTCCCGGAACACCCCTAGGCCGAAGTTGCCGTCTTTCCTGAGGTTGCCGAAGTTGCCGAAGACCCGAGGTGTCTGGGCCTGAGGTTCTTTCCCTCCACGGCGAGGAGGAGGAGGAGCAGGAGGAGGAGGAGGAGCAGGAGGAGCAGGAGGAGGAGGAGAAAGATCGGTGTGTGTGTGTGTGTGTGTGTGCTTTCCCAGCTTGGGTCGCCCGCCGCAGCCCCTGTGCTGTCGCTGCGGTCCTGTGCCGCTTCGATGCTCTCCGCCTTCTGACCGTCTTCGCTTTCCCTCGCCCGCTCCCTGTCGGGCCCCTCCTTCTGGGGGGCCGGCTCGGGCCGCTCCCTCAAGGACCGCCTTCTCGGCCGCCGCCGTTCTGCTTCGGCCTGCGACTTTGTGCGGCTCCGCCGCCTTGTGCTCGATCTCCCCGCACCGCCCTCCCCTTCATCCCTCGTCGGCCTTGGCGCTCTCCCTCGTCGGTCCACTCTTGCTTACTCGATCTCCCCGCACCGCCCTCCCCTTCATCCATGTCCGGATGGTCATGGCTGCCGCCGGCTGCGAGACCCTGAGCGGTCTCTGAGTGCTCGGCCGGGCGTAAACGCGCGCGCTTCCCTGCCTGCACCCGACTTCCTCCGCCCCCCTCGCCGCGCGCGGGTCCGTGAGAACGAGGGCGCATGCACCGACCCCCGGGGCTCAGGACGGGCCTCTCTGGCGAGGACTGGCGAAGGGCGTGTGCGCCTGCCGCCCTCCCCAGCAGGCTGGGAGAGAGGAGCTCCCTGAGAGCCGAGAGCGTGCTCTCGGCATTCGCGGGCGGGGCGGCACGGCCCGCCGGCACCCCGGTCATCTGCTGGCCGCGATCGGCAATGAGCGGGCGAGGTGACTGCGGTGTTGGAGAAGCGGGTAGAGCGGGCGGGGCGGGTGGCAGGCCGCGGCGGCAGGCGGCGGGCGGGCTCGGGCGTGTAATGCATCGTCATCACCACCATCACCACATTATCATCATCACCATCACCACCACCATCATCACCATCATCATCACGATCAAGATCAAGATCATGCTCATGCTCATGTTCATGCTCGCCATCATCCTCTTCCTCTTCCTCATCCTCGCCATCACTATCATCATCACCACCATCACCACCGCCATCACCATCGCCATCCTTGTCATCACCATGAGCGTCATCATGGATATCACCCTCACTTGTATCATCATCCTTATCAGCATCGGCATCATCATCATCATGACCACCACCATCATCATCACCATTTCCATCGTCATCATCGTCACCATCACTATTACCATCAGCATCAACACCATCAGCATCAGCAGCATCAACATCATCAGCACCATCATCATCACCATCTGCATCGTCATCATCATCACCATGACCACGGCCACCATCATCACCACTATCTCTATCACCATTCACCAATCATCAATCATCATCATCGCCACCATCGTCACCATCACCAACATCACCACCATCACCATCACCACCATCACCATCACAATCACCATCATCATCATCACCATCATCATCAGCATCAGCATCAGCATCATCATCATCATCAGCATCATCATTACCATCATCGTCGTCGTCGTCATCACCACCACCATCAATCATCAATCGCCATCACATCATCACCACTCACCAATTACCATCATCAGCGTCACCACCATCGTCGTCATCATCATCATCACCATCGCCATCACCATCATCACCACCACCACGATCATCATCACATCATCATCATCATCATCATCATCATCATCATCATCATCATCATCATCATCATCATCATCATCATCATCATCATCATCATCAACATCAACATCACCATCATCAACAACATCAGCATCTCGGGTGCACGTTAACTTTGTTGTCGCAGCAGCGAGAGTCCTTGCCGAGAAGAGGACAAACAAAGACAACAAGAAGAGGAACCAGTAATTGCAAAAACAAAAGCGTCCACAATTCCGCGTGGTTTTCTTGGATCGGCGCTGGACCCCATCCCTGGCGCGCGGAGCGCGCCAGGGGCGGCGCCAAAGGCGCCGCCGAGGGGCTCCAGCGCCGATCCCGGAAATCCGATCGGGTCGGGCGAAAGGGGGGGATAGCAAAGGGGGGGTTTGAGAATCAGCTCACGTAGCTGATTTTCCCGGCGCCTCCCGGCGCCAGAGGCGGCCATGTATCGAGGAATGGGCCCCTCGGTGAGGCCGAAACCAGCTGCATGCAGCAAATTTCGTAACCCCCCCTTTCCCAATCCCCCCCTTTCGCCCGGCCCGATCCGAGCGGACCTCCGAAAGCTGATGTTTACTTGATTACTTGTTCCCCGAGATCTGCCGCGTGGGGGCCAGATCCGCGGATCGGGGAAGGTACCCCCTGGAACGTGAGGCAAGTGCCGCCCAGTTTGGCCACGCAGCGCGCCGATTGCGTACGGAAACGGGGGCTGTCGCTGATCCGCGCGCTCCAATCCATATTTTCGTTCCCTCGATCCTTGTGGTTCGCAGCGAAGACACGCTTGACGCCAGCGGCGGCGGCCGCCGCCGCGCCCGAACAAAGGGGACAGCGCCAACCTGCTGCTGGCTTGGAGGCGGCCGGGGGGTCTGAAATGGATGGGCCCCGAGAAAAATCGGTCGAGACGCGGGGATAAAGGCAAATCCGCTCAATACTGCCCCCCAAAGCTCTCCTGGAGTCCATCTGGTGCAATTTTTGACACCAAATCCGCTTCTGACCGTCCTGGGACCCGCAAACGGCCCCCCGAGACCGAAAAAGGCAAAACCCTCCTCGAAGCCAGAAGCTCGAACCTCGCCTCGCCTTCAAGCTCGCCGGAACCCATGCCGGGCCACTTCAGACCCCCAGCCAGCTCCAAACTCTCGTGTCGCCCGTCAGGTCGTCGGAGGGGGGCCGCGCACGAGAGAGCGCAGCGCTGCCTGCCGCCCAAGCTCCTGAAACTGCTCAGGCGTGGGCACGGAGCGTACGCGTCCGCACTGCCAGTCCCGCTGGGAGCTGCGCCGAGAGCGGGACGGTGGAAGACACCTGTCGCGCCGCAGCAGCTCGAGCTGCTGGCCTCGTGTGGACCGCGTGCCGCCTCCGCTGAGCCTCGCGCGGGCCCCGGCGCCGGCCGTCGGGCGAGGCCGCGCGAGGGCGGGTGGCGAGGGCGGGCGCGCAGGGGCCAGGGGGGCACTTGCGTCGGCGCGCACCGGCGGCGCGGCGGCACTCCGGCCGTACCCCCTCCTCGAGGAAGTGCGTTGCTTCCAAGGCCAGATCCCAATACGCTCGGCGGGCGCGCTTGATCTGTCATGAGGAACCCCACACGACCCCCTTCGCAGGAAGCACGGACCTTGGGCTTCTTCTTACCGATTGGGCTGCTTCGGTCTGCTCCTACCCTACGGGCATTGCCATCCTCCGTCGACCCAGAAACACAGATCGCGCTCGCTGCCCCCCAGCGAGCTTCAAGTGCGAATGTGGATTCGCGACGCGAGGACCAGCGACGGGCCCCGCTTCCGTGCAGAGCCCGCGCGCTCCGGCGCCAAACCGAGCAGAACTGGCCACCCTTGATGGGGGGGTCACCTTCCCGATCCGTGGACCCGACGCCCACGCGCCAGATCCACGGATTCCTGGTCCACGCTACAGTCGGGCTTGATTGGAGAGGACACGCGAGAGGGCACAAGACCCTTTCGAGGGCCACATCGCCACAGGAATGTACGAAGCATGTGTCGCGAGACACAGGACACAAGGGTACCCTTGATCCGGCAGGGTCGACCTACTGATCCGGGCCGCCCGTATCGTGTGCTCGACCGCCGAGCGAATGCGTGAATGGAACACCTCCCTCACGCGCGTACCGGCACAAAGGCTCCACCAATTCCTCCCCCTTCTGCCTGGAGCGTCCCACTGTCGGCGGCGCGCCCAGCGGGGAAGGCATGGGGGGCGGGCTTTCTCAGAAGGCTCATAAGGCCTCCAGCCTTCTGAGGAGCTTTCTTAGCCATCTCCAGAGCCACACAGGGCTTCTCAGAAGGCTGGAGGGCTGGTGGAAAGCCACGCCACCTCCTGAGAAGGTCGACCCCTTCCCACTCCTCCCATCCTAGCGCGCCGCCGAGGTTTCGTCAGCGTGCAAGCGCGTGCTAGCCTTGACCTTCGTGATCCTGGACATCACCACGGCGTCCGGGTCTCGCACCGACCCCTGCATCGGGGTCATGACGTCGCGCAGCTCCTGCACCCTCCCCGTCCTCCTGCTTCCTGCTTCCTTCCTCCTCTCCACATCCTGCTGCTCCTCCTGCTCGTCATATTCCTTCTGCTGCTTCTGCTCCTCATTTTCCCCACACGTCTCCTCCTCGTCCTGCCTCTCCTGCTCCTTATCCTGCATCCTGCCCCAGGAAAAGGAGGAGAAGGATGATGATGATGAGGGGAAGGAGGAGGAGGAGGAGGAGGAGGAAGATGAAAAGGAGGAGGAGGAGCAGGCGGAAGAGGAGGAGGAGGAGGAAGAGGAGGAGGAGGAGAAGGAAGAGGAGGAGGAGGAGGAGGAGGAGGAAGAGGAGGAGGAGGAGGATTGATCGAGCTCTCGGGGCAGTTCGGCGAAACTTTGAGCTGTGTTTTAAAATCTAGTGTGGCCTAGCAGCGTTCACTCAGTGGAAAGGGGGTCGCTGGCGTCATGACGCTGTGGCTCTACCTGCACCGCCACTCCCCACCCAGGGGTCGGAGGAGAAGGAGGAGGAGGAGGAGGAGGAGGAGGAGGAGGGGAGGAGGAGGAGGGATAAGAAGAGGAGGAGGATGATGATGATGATGACGATCCCTGGAGTCAGGGTTCGGCCGCCTGGCCTGCCTCCTCAGATGAGGAGCACGAACTTGCCGACGGGCCTCACGACGTCCGCGCCAGCGCGACGAGCTGCTTGAAGGCGGCTGCCCTGGCCTCCGCGCTCGCCCTCGACTCCTCGGAGTCAGCGCCGGCCCTGGCCGCCCGCGGCAATGCCCCAGCAGCGGCACCTGCGTCGCCGTGCTCGGGTCCCCCGAGCGGGCCACGGCGGTCGCCGTCCAGCTCGGCCACGTGGTCGTCGATCACGCCGCCGTGACCACGTCCTTGCCCTCGAACGCTCGGTGCGGCCCGAGGATCCCAGGGCCCTGGCCAACCGCCGAGGGCGGGGACTCTTTCCCAGGCGTGCCCGTGGCGCAGAGGGGGGTACGTGGCCGACGGCCTTCGCACTGCCTCCGCTGCGGCCGCCTCAGCGCCGCGCCCGCTGCCCTCGGCTGCAGTGGAGTCGATGCCGCCGTCGCACTCGCCCAGGCTGGGTGCGGCCGCGCCTGGGGGCTGCTGCTCGCGCGCGCCAGCCGCCGCCAGGAGACGGGCGACGCGCTCGGCGAATCCCAGCGAGCCCAGCGCCGCCGCGGCGTTGCCGTCCAGCGCGTCCGAGGCGCCGCCTGCCGCAGCCGATCCGCTCGCGGCCCCCACAGCAGCCGCCCCGTCGCCGTGCGCGGTGTCGCCCAGCGCGCTCACGGGGGCGACGTCCAGCGCGTGCGAGCCGTCGACGCCCGCCGACGGGCCGCTTGCCGCCCCCGCAGCTGCGGCCTCCGCGTCGTGCACAGCGCCGCCCAGCGCGCCCTTGATGTCGTCGTCCAGCGCGCCCGAGCCATCGATGACTGCCAGCGAGCTGCCTGCCTCCCCAGCAACGGTATCCTCAGCGCCGAAACCCCGCGCGCCCAGGAGGCCGTCGTCCAGCGCGCTCGAGCTGTCGAAGTCCATCGCCAGGCCGAGCACCTCTGCAGCAGCTGCCGCCCCGGCGTCGTGCTCGTCGTCGTCCATCTCGCCCTCGACCTGGACGTCCAGCGCGGCCGAGCCGTCGAAGCAGTCCGTGCCCATGCCGTGCACCTCCCCAGCGACTGCCGCCTGAATGCCGTGCTCGTCATCGCGCAGCGGGTCCACGACCTGTTCGTCCAGCGCGTCCGAGCCGTTGATGGTCGCCGCTGAGCCGCGCAGCGCCCCCGCGCCAGCAGCCCCAGCAGCCGCATACTCCTCGATGTGCTCCACGAAGTCCGCCGCGGCCGAGGGGGCGACGCCCTGCTTGGCCTCACGCCGCTGCCCCGAGGTGGCGGTGGCGCTGGGTCCACCAGCAGCAGCAGCTCCTTGAGCACCCCTGAGGCGCGCCCCAGCGCGCCTACCCCGTCGAGCTCCGCGACCTGCCTCATGCTGGAAGTCTCCTCTGGCCACCGCGTGCCCGAACATGGTGTTTCGCATCTCCTGTTCATCACACCAAACCTGTGCCCTTTCGCGCACTCGTTGGTGGAGTGCGGCCATCCTGCTCTCGAACCCTGCCACAGGCGCCGCCACGTCGGTGCCGCTGAGGATGTCGACCTTCGTGAAGGTGGTGTGTACCTCGCTCGTCGCCTCCAGCCGCCTAAGCGGGGTGGTGCGGTCGATAAACCTCTTCAGCTTCTTGAAAGGACCGACACCGCGCCTCAGGTTGTGGAGGACCTCGAGGCCCTTGGTGGTGGCAGCTACGCAAGGCTGCCGTAACTTGGCCTTGCGCCGCTGCAGCGCCCAAGCCCCGCACTTCACACATATGAACACTGGCCTGTAGGTGTCCTTCGCGTCGCTCTCCAAGGTGTCCAAGGTGCCCTTCTGGTTGACCGCTACCAGCTTGTGGCCGTTGGGGTTGCGCCGATGGTCCAGCAGGAAAGTGGCCATCCCAGGGCGCCCCGTGAGGGGGAGTGGCTGCCCTGGCATGTGCATCTGTAGGCAGGTGATGCATTGCACGCCCAGCTCACCATCTTGCCATTGGTGCCATGTTGCTTTCCTCGTGCTCGCTGCCCGCCGCAGGGTCGGTGCTCTCCTGGTCCACCTGAGCTGGTCGTCCTTGTCAAAGATGGGCATGACGTGGGCAATCAGCTTCGCAATCTGGCTGATTCTGTCGACGCCCTTCTGCATCTCCTCCACTATCTCCTGCTCAGGGGCGGGGTGGATCGCCGCTGCCTCCTTGGCCCTGAGGTCCGCCACGATGTTCGCGTCCGTGACCCTCCTCTGGCTGTCGGAGAGCGCTGCGTAGTCGTCCCCAGAGCGGTGCGCCTTGACGTGGGCATACTGCTGCACGTACGTGAAGCCGTCGAGCGATTGCGCGAAGTGGGCGAAGCACGCGTAGGGGGTTCTGGCCTTCAGCTGCAGCTCCTTCTGCTTGTTTCCCAGGTGGACAACGCCCTTGAAGTCGGCGTGGACGGTGCATGGTCGGTCCGCAACCTGCGACACGAAGGCCGCCGCCAGATGCTCTCCGACAGCCGATTCTTGGGGCAAGGAGGCAGGTACAGCTCCGTGCATGGTCGCCAGCGGCCTGTCTGAGCGGGGATCGATCAGGACGAGGCTCCACCCTGCTCGCTGGAATTCCTTGATGGGCGGCTTGGTGCACGAGCCATCGGTAGCGACCTCCATACTCGCGTCCTGTTCCCTGAGAAAGCAGGCTGCCATCTGCTCAGGTTCCTGACATCGCTCATCAGGAACTGGAACCCCTTGGCCGTCAAAGATAACGCTGGTTGTGCCCAAACTCATTGTCGGAACATCAGCACAAGCATATCCAAATATGCCTTCGATATACCCAGGCTCGTCTGCATGCTGGCGTAGCTCGTCGAGGAAGACTTGGGGGACCTCTGCATCAGCTCGAGCTTGCTGAACTTCAGGTCTTGTGCAATCAAGAAGTCGGTGCGCGAGAGAATCGAGGGCTCCACAGGGACACCTACCATCCGTGTAGTATCCATGCTGCTGGGCTCTCGTCTTTGTCCAGACGCCACTACACGCGACATTCATGATGCAGAACTTCTGGTGCGCCGTGTACCGCTTGCTTCGCAGGGAGACCAGGGGGGCTAGGATGTCGAAGGTAGCGCGCTTGCCCTCTCCTAGTCCGAGCTTGTTCGCTAGGTCTCGCTCATGCTGACATTGAACGCCTTGCTGCAACATCTGAAGCAGTAGTCCTGGGGTGAGCTGCTCCACAAATACCAGGTCGCCTCGATGGTTATGCCACCTTAGTGCCGAGGTTGCTGTCCATCCTGCCCTCGCCAACGAGAGGGCAGCTCGTTGGAGCGGCCCGCGGGTCATTCCCCACGAGCTGCATACCCCAGGCTCTTCCACCGCTCTTCTCCACCACGTCGTAAGTAGTGCCAGAGGTACTGGTGCCTGTTCAGGTTGCGATACTGCCATCCAGACCATGCGCGACCACTGCAGCACTGGCGCCATTGCAATCGCCACCGTGGGGTCGCCTAGGAGCACTACCTTGGCCGAGGCCGAGACGCCCCCATGACAGGGTCTGCTGAACTTGCCGAAGTCCGTGCGCATCTTGTGGAGCTCCCTGTCTGTGAGCCCGTTGGTCTCCACGCCGAAGGTGGCCGCTGGTCGAGCTCCAGCTCGGAAGATCTTGGCCGTCCGCTGCGTCTGCTGTCCTGGAAGTCGATGTCGAAAGCTGCCCAGCTTGCGCAGCCTCTGCTTGTAGATCTTATGGCGCGCCTGCTGCTTGGCGCGTAGGAGCTTCCCTCGCCTTCTCCGTGCTCCCGCGAAGTCCGTGCCCAGGTAGGTTGCCCGACTGCGATTCATGTCTGTGGGTAACTTCAGCTGCCGCACCACTTCCTTCCCAATATCATCTGAGCTGGCCACCACCGCCAGCTTATCATTGATGCGGGCGCCGAGCTTCTTAGCTACCTTGAAAAAGGCATTGCCCGCCTCGACCGCTTGCAGGATGACGTTCTCCTTGGTGGCCCCGTTGGTGCCGAGGGAGGTGTCGTCGATGTAGGACGCGAACCTGACCAGCGGGTGGAGCGTGACGTATACGTCGTACTGCTCAATGGCGTGCGCCTTTATGACCACGTCTGCGTAGCCATCTCCTGCTGGAAGGCCGAACTTTGCATGCCGTGGCTGCGCACCATGATGCTGGTGAAGACGTATCACACTTGGCCCTCGCCACTGGTTGTACACAATTTTAACCATCGCCACTGGCATACCGAGCCTCAGCAGTTTATCCCTTGCTTCGTCGAGGGGAATGAGCTCGTAGTACTTGCTATAGTCGGCGATGATTGTGGCCGTGTGCCGCCCAGCCTCTACATTCTGTTCCGCATCCGCCGCCAGGATCCAGGCACTGTCGATAGCGCTCCTGTTCTTGGCCGCCGCCCAGTATGGCCTACGCAAGGCCTCTTGTAGAGGTCGAAGGGCAGGTTTGCGGAGTCGTTGCCAGACTCTGTAGGCCATGGAATACAGGATGATCAACCTGTGGCCTCCAGCGGCCTTTGGCAACATCGGCATCACCATCCACGTCAGCTGGACGGGGAAGAGGCCCAGCGCCTCGCAGGCCAGCAAGATGTCGCACAGGCCCTCCAGCGCGTCGTCGCTGAGGTGCTCCAGGTGCGTAGGGTGGAGGCCGTCCAGGCTGCTGGAGGTTGTGATGCTGAAAGTACGTGATGCTCGCCGAAGTTCCTCTGGTGAAGGTCGTTCTAGGGTCGACCTGTCAGGAATCCACGCCTGGGGAGCCTCCTTCACCGCCTTCCACAGCGCTGCGTGCGTATCCTCCATATCCTTGACTACGAAGTGCGGGTGCCCTGTGATGCCGTTCTCCGAGTCATTGACCGTAGTGGGGGCCTGAACCTCTCGTACTCGCGTGACCTTGTGAAGCTTCCTCGCTCCGCCAGCGCAGGCCCCGTCACACCACTCTTTCCAGCGCTTCGAAGATTCCTTGTTCGCTTGCTGCATGGCGAATTTGACATCCTCTTCAATGTCTTCCGAGAAAGTCATGATGTCCTCACTGCTGAAATTCCTCTGCGCTAGCTGTCGAGCTTGCCGCGCAGATGCGTCAAACCGCGCGCTGAGGTTCTGGCCACAGTAGTCACCAGTGAGGAAGCCTTGCACCTCGTTGTCGAGAACCTGTCGGCCTTCAGGTGTCCTGGCTTTCGCCTTCGCAGTGGAGAGGCCCGCCAGGCAATCCTGCAGCCACTTCCATCCATCCGCGATTGCCTGCACTTCCTCCTCCGTGAGGACCTGGTGCTCACGCTCGACCCACTTGGCTTGAAGCGGGCGAGCGTAGGCGCTGGCCCGCATCTCCGTAGCTGTGAGATGCCCGAGCCTCGAGGCCGCTCTGGTCGCCCATCGGCCCCAAGCCTTCGAGAGAAAGCGCCAGGCGACAGCAGCGGGCGCCTCCTTTGCCAAAATCAGCGCCTGCTCAGCAAAGCTGCGCTCCAGGGACCAGCTGCTCTCCTCGAGGAATGGGCCGTGCACAGTCTGCGCTGGTATCTTCGCGCCTCCGACGTAGGTGAGGTACCTGGGCTTGGTGCCCTCCGCTGTCAGTTGTAACTGAACTGGTCGATGCGGCTTTACTGCCCAGGTCAAGTCGGCCTTGCAAGCTGCTAGCATGCGCATGGAGCCCGTGGTTAGCCCGAAGTAGTCGATGGTGGAGACCGATGCCGCTGTTCTGCAAGTTGCGTGCCTCGGGGTGACCATCTCCAGCTGCGCGTGCACGGGGAAACCAGAGTTCTTGACAACCTGTACGTCCATGTTCCAGTCGCCGCCGATGATGCCAGGGTGCCTCTGGCCCGCGAGCGCGATCCCCACCGTCATGAGGATGCTGGCGTTGCGGCTGCTCATGCCCTCCCCTGTGTGGAGGTAGACGTTGACGACGTTGAGCGGCGGCCAGTTCGGCAGCTCCACGACGACGTGCTGAGCCCTGCCGCGGACTAGCTCGGTGCCGTGCGAGATGGTCTCGTTGACGCTGCCTGCACGTCTGGGCGGGGCGTCGCCGGGGTACGTGGGCCCGCGCAGCCCGATCCCCTCCCTGGCAAACACTGCCAGGCCTGCAGAGGGGAGATGCCCTCGTGAGGGCAGCCCTGGCACGATGAGGCTTTGCCAGCCACGTGCCGTTGCCCATGAAGAGAGGCTCTCGCAGTCATCGATGCCGTAGCCGATCTCCTGGGCCATGATGACCATAGCTGTTGACCTTCGCAGCCGCTTCTGGAGGGTTAGCTTTCCCTGGTTGGCGTTGAAGGTCTCGAAGGTGTGCGTGACAGTGACCGCTGCTGGCACATGTAGCTGCTTGGCGCCCGCGCTGGCGGCCAGTAGCCCGCTGACCAAGGGCGGGTTACCCAGGCAGCGTGCCTGTGCCCAGGGAGCCTGCCGCGGTTCTGCGGTGCTTGCTGTTCTGGACCTGCGTGAACGCGTCGTCCAGCTTCTCCTTGGTCCAGTCCGAAGGCGGCTGCTGCCCGCTGCTGAGGAGCTGCTGCCAGAGGGCGCCGACGTCATCCTTGACCAGCTCCACCCAGGCGGCGCCGCGCTTATCACCTCCTCGAGGCTGGGCGTCGCCGTCAGCGTCCTCGTCCATGTCCTCGTCATCCCGAGCTGGCTGCCCGTCGGCTGCTCCTGCGCCACCGCCCTCAGCATGAGGAGCATGAGCACCAGGTTCCTCAGCCATGGCTGTAGCCAGCTTCTCTGCCGCCTGCTTGCGGAGGGCCGCCTGGATCTTGTCGAAATGGGGGCTCGCCTTGAATTGCTCGAGGGCCTCCTTTGCGCCGTCGTCGAGCTGCTCGGCGAGGTCGAAACCCACCAAGTCCTCCTCCTTGATGACTGGGTTGGGCTTCTCACCCCGTGCGGCCTGCATGGTCTGCTCGTGCTTTGCATTCTCTTTGCGCAGGACCTCCACTTCAGCATGCTTTGCAGCGATGGCCTCCTGCTTGTCCTGGATCTTGCGCTGGGTAGCCGCCAGCTGCGCCTCGAGGCCCTGCAGGTCGCTGGTGAAGCGGTCCAGCTGCTGCATGCACCTCGCGAGCTTCTGGGACGAGGCCTTGTACGCAGCGCCTGGGGGGCGCAATTCACGCGCCTGCTGCCGAAGGACGTCGAGAGCCCGCTGGTGCAGGAGGTGAATTGGGCCGCCCTCCGCCTCCACGATCTTGCACTCCTTGATGCACTTCTCGTGGAAATTGATCTTCGCCTGGAGCTCCGTGCGCTGCTGGATATTGCCCTGCCCCTGCTGCGTCTGCTCCTTGCTGCCAGCTCCCACTCCTGACGACGCTGGTGCCGTAGACGCAGGGGCCCACTTGGGGCTGCCAGCCTGCTGGGAGATGCACTGCAGCACCAGCTCGCGGATCTGCTTCTTCGTGAGGCCGTACTCCTTGGACCATGGGGCAGGCTTCCGCACGAGCCCTGTGCCGCCTGCCCTCTGTGAAGGCTTCTTGTCCCGTGCCTCCTGGTCCGCTTTCTTGGCGGCGTTGGCGACCTTCTGAGACGCCTGCCGCCCGCAGGAGCACACGATGCGGCACGCCCAGTTGTTGTTCTTCCCACACTGGCAGCCCCACACAGGCTCGCGGGGTCCGCGCAGCACTCTCGCCATCGGCGGTGCGGGCGCCATCGCCCCTGCAGAGGAGCCGTGATGGGCGTCCAGCCTCTGGGCCGCGCCGCGCAGCCTGGCAACCAGCGCAGGGGTCGGGCGCCCCGACCAGGCGTGGAGGAGGAGCCTGTCCTCCTTGCGTTGCAGTCGCGCTCGATGATGGGCAGCAATCTCCCGCGGAGCCGCCGCCGTCGCGAGCGCTGGCCTCGGCGCGCGCCAGGAGCCTATCCCCCTCGCCTGCCCCGCAGGCGCCCAAGGGGGGAGGCAGCTCCTCGCGAGCCGAAAACTAGAAGAGGAGGAGGAGGAGGAGGAGTAGGAGGAGGAGGAGGAGGAGGAGGAGGGTGTTCGAATTCAGGAGAATGCTGAGTGCGGGATCGACGGAGATGCCCATGCACCAGAACACGGCCCGAGGGGAGCACTGTGAGAGGACGGCATCCGACGCGCCACGATATCGGCGTGGAGCTCGGGGGGCAGCCGCGACCCAGGCGTCCAATGTCGTGTTCTTTATTGTGGCAGCCCGCAGCCCCAGATGCCATTGGCGGCGCGCAGAGGGGGTAGGGGGAGGTGGGGAGGCTTCAAAGAAGGAGGCTGCTTCTAAAAAGGCGCGGGCCATATCATTGTATATATACACATGTGTATACATATCCATGTGCATATATATATACGTATATATTTATACATATATAGATGTATGTATATATGTACAAGACTGCAGTGGCGCTTCGCGCTATGCACATTGGTCCCTCGAGTTTCGCACAAGGGAGGCGTGCTTGCGCGTAGACATGCGCGCGCGAATCTGTGCATACACGTCATACGCGCGCAGGTGCATGCACGCCATACAAATGTAGACATATGGTTGTGTACGCATACATATGTACACATTCATGTCTGCACATCTATATATATACACATACATATATGCACACGTAGACGTACACGTCCGTCCGTGTGTGTGTGGGGTCTATTAATATACGTACTCATTTATATATGGCGTTAAGTATTTATTGTGTCTACTTGGGCAGATCTACGTGTACACATACGCATGTCTATATACATGTATGCGGTCGTGGCCGCAGAGGGGGGGCCAAAAACAAAATGAAGGGCTCGCGAGTGCCGACAGACTTTGGTAGGAGACGGCATGGAGGACACGGCAGAATGTGGAACGGCGACCTGGGCTTACCAATGGCCGTATCTTTAGGACTATGGGAGGAGCCGTGTGAGGGCCTTGGGGGGCCTCGGGAGCGTGTCGCAGCGGGGCTCGATTATCTCAACGCTGAAGTTGTTTTGCGCCGCCGTACGCTCTTGGGAAGCCTCGCGTTCAGAGTGATAACGCCATGTGGATCTTATTGGAGCCTCCCTGAGTGGGACGTGGTGCAGTCTCGTTATGGCTTGGGCCCGTCTTCGGGCGCGAACTGGCTCTGTTGGGCTGTCTCGGGGTCATGTTCGGGCTCCTGGTCCGTGTTAGGTCTGTCTTGGGGGCCTTTTCGGGCGTTTTTGAAGTTCTCTGGAGTCCTTGCGGGATCTTTTGGGATTCTTGGGGACCTCTTAGGGCTTCCTGAAGGCCGCTTGGGGGCATCTTATTGCCTCTTCGCGGCCTGTTGGGAACCTCCTGGGGCCCTGTCGGGACTGTCTGGGGGCTCTCTTGGGCCACTTTGGGGCCCTCTTGAGCCGGTTTTGGGCCCTCTTGGAGGTCTGTCGGGCCATCTTAGGGCGATCTTGGAGGCCTCGTGGGCCGTCTCGGAGCGTCGGGAAGCGGAACAAAAAGATAACTCAAACATCTCCCACAATCCAACGGAAAATCAATGAATTTTGCCTCGTGGGGCCCTCTTGGGAGTGGTCTTGGAGGCTTCTTGGGATGTCTTGGACGATCTCGAACTTCTGTGGGTCCTTGCGAGATCTTTTGGGAATCTTGGGACCTCTGAGGGCTTCCTGGGGGCCTCTTCGGGGCCTCTTGGGGCCCTGTCGGGACTGTCTCGTGGCCCTCTTGGGCCGGTTTGGGGCACTCTGGGAGGTCTGTCGGGCCATCTAGGGCGATCTTGGGGTCCCCGTAGGCCGTCTTGGAGCGTCGGGAAGCCGAAGAAGGGGAGAACTCAACGATCTCCCGCAAACAAACGGGAAATTAATTAATTTTGCCTCTTGGGGCCCTCTTGGGAATGGTCTTGGAGGCCTCTTAGGATGTTTCGGAGGGATCTTTGGGGGTATGACGGCTCCTTTGGGGTCGTCATCGACCGTCTTGGGGCTCTCTGAGATCATTCCGGGAGCGCGCCGGAACGTCGGTGGCCCTCTGGGGCCGTCTTCGGGCTCTCGTAAGGTCCTCCCAAGTCGTCTGGGTGGCTGCCCGAACCCCCCCGGGTGTGACACATTCTTTAGGGGGGGCGCTCTTTCCGGGGTCCCTGGCCCATATATACATATATATATATACACATGTAGATATACACATACATATACATATCTTTATATATGCATTCAATTGATTGTGTATCCATGTTTATGTTTACGTATACGTATGCACATATATATGTATATATATATATATATATGTATGTGCATACATACATACATTTACATATATGCATCTATAATAGAACTCGCAAGCACATGCTATACACAGCCCGCGCCTTCTAAGATGAAAGGGTGCTTCTAAGAAACCTTCCCCCCTCGCCCCACCCCCCTCTGCGCGTGGCCGAGGTCTGGTCCCCTTCCCAGGGCCAATTTTACGTTCCGAGCAGTCTTTCGACGGTCCCGGTGGTCGTTGAGGCCCCCGAGGGGCAGGACAACACCAACAGAAAAACCGTCGTGCTTTGGATCAGTGGTGGTCTACACAACTTGCTATGTCTTTAATCTTGCCACCGTGTGGCAATACTAATCGCGCAACCAAGCGCCAACTGAATTTGCGAAGCTGCAGTCTCGCACGCATTTCCTCTGTAGGCATACGCTCATGCTCAGTCGGGGCTCCCGAGTACCAGTCAGCAACACCTTCCGCCGTCTTTTGTTCGCTTGTTTCCTAGAGGCCTCTCATATTGGGTTTGAGTAGATGGGGTCGGAGGATCGCGCCGCACCATCGATGCATCGCCGACGCATCGGCGATGCACCAGGGACGTCGGCGGTGCATCGGCGACGTCGGCGTGGAGGCAATCGGGCCCCACATCGAACCAAAGCGCCGATGCATCGCCGATGCGGCGCGACCCTCCGACCTCATCTTCTCGGACCCCATCTGGAAGGCCTGGATCTCCACAGCGCGAAGATTTCAAGGGAAGTTGCGAGAGATGCGCGCCGGGAAAGGGGGACGATGAGAATCATGAGGATGAGGAGGATGAGGAGAAGGAGAAGGAGAAGGCGAAGGAGAAGGAGAAGGAGGAGGAGGAGGAGGAGGAGGAGGAGGAGGAGGAGGCGGTGGCAGCGGCGGCGGACGAGGGGAAAGGGGGAAGGGGACAAGCTAGGTGCGCTCGCGCCATATCTGACGGCCTACTCTTCGCTCCCATCCCTTACCATGGCGTGGATTTCCTCTGTATTCGCACAGTCGGATGTCGTGGCAGGGCAGAGCATGACATGGCATAGCATGGTGTTGAATATCAACGCGTAGCCTGACATAGCATGGCGTGGCGACGTCCCAAAGTGGAGGGGGGGGCTTCAGCGGCCCAAAAAATAAACGAATCGACGACGAATGTGTAATCACTTTCAATGGTTCTTTCGGGGGGCCACTTTCGAAATTTTGGGGCCCGTTTGGAAGGACCGAATACCATGCCGTGGCACGGCGCGGGAAATAATTACGCCAACGCTGCAACGGGAACACGATTCGGAACGAGCGGAAGCGCGGAAATGAGGCCAGCACTGCAGCGGGAGCACGATTCGGAGGACGCGTAGCCTGACCAAGCATGGCGTGGCGACGCTCCAAGTGGGAATTTCCTGCGACCCCCAAAATCAACGACTCGACACTGAATGTGTAAGCACTTCCGATGATTTTTTTCGGGGGGCATTTTTTAATATTGATTTTTGGGCCTATTTGAAATGAGCGGGAACCGTGCCGTGGCATGGCGCTGGAAATTCGCCGGCCCAACGGGCCAGAGGCGTGCTAAGATCTCCGGTAACTGGTAAACAGTATTTCTGGTTCGCGCGCGCGGGGCGGCCCCTGGGGGTCCCTGGATCAAAAGTACCCCGAGAGGAGCCCGGGACACGCCCGAGACACGCCTGGGACACTCCCCCAGATCCTCCAAGATCGCCCCAAGAGGGCCCCAAGAGGCCCCCAACACAATCCAAGAGAGGTCCGAGACGCCCGAAGATCGCTCCACGACGCCCAAGATGGCCTCCAGACGGCCCAAGAGGTCTCCAAGATGACCCAAAAAGCCTCCAAGATGCCCCAAGAGGCCTCCAGGAGCACTCCCAAGAGGGCCCCAAGAGGCAAAAATCCATGTCTTTCTTAGGTTTTGGGCAGATTTGGGCGTTTCAACCTTTTCGGTTCCCCGACGCCCCTAAACGGCTCAAGAGGCCTCCAAGATCGCTCCAAGAGGGCTCAAGAGGCCCCCAAGAGGGCTCCAAGATGGCCCAAGACGGCTCCAAGACGGCCCCCGAGGCCTCCAGGACGGCCCAAGAGGGCCCCAAGAACGCCCCCAACACGGTCCAAGAGAGGTCCGAGACGCCCGAAGATCGCTCCACGACGCCCAAGATGGCCTCCAGACGGCCCAAGACGTCTCCAAGATGACCCAAGAAGCCTCCAAGATGCCCCAAGAGGCCTCCAAGAGGACTCCCAAGAGGGCCCCAAGAGGCAAACAACTGTGTTTTTCCTTTGGTTTTGGGCAGATTTGGGCGTTTCAACCTTTTCGGTTCCCCGACGCCCCTAAACGGCTCAAGAGGCCTCCAAGATCGCCCCAAGAGGGCCGAAGAGGCCCCCAAGAGGGCCCCAAGACGGCTCCAAGACGGCCCCCGAGGCCTCCAGGACGGCCCAAGAGGGCGCCAAGAACGCCCCCAACACGGTCCAAGAGCTTTCCGAAACGCCCGAATATCGCTCCACGACGCCCAAGATG